ATCCACCATGACACCTTTAGAAATTTTTCTTTGTGGCCTGATGGCCTAAAGATTGCATGACTTAGAGCATCAGTCACAACAAGATCTTACTAGAGGGACTCAGTTTATCTAATATAGCCAACATCTGTGTGAAGAAATATGTCCCAGAGAGAAACAGCACAAAGATCTACCACAGTGCCAACCTTGGTCCACTGCCTATCTCTCAGGCAGGTGTGTCATTCTGCAGAGTATTCCCACATAGAGATGTGAGGCTCCAGGTGGGTGCTCAGTCAACCAAAACAACATCCCAAATACTGAGTTTCCTGCCCCGTTCACAGCTGCCTTATCATTCACTGTCTCCAATCTGAGGAGTTCATTACTAGAGCCATCCTTCCAGACTTGGACTTGCTGAATGCTTGCCTGCATAGAAGCAGTCACAGGCCCTGAGCTTTTCCCACTAAACGGTGGCCAGGTCAGGACAACTTCTTCCCAGCAGGTCAGAGAACACAAGGTAAAGGATTTTTTTTTAAATTTTATTTTAAGGAAGCATAACCTTAAAGTCTAGGATGCTCAACTAGGTTCCCAACATGTGAGATAGAATCCAGGGAGAGCGGGGCTGCAGTGAAGGGAGATCTACAGGGGAACTGCTATTGCCGAGACTCCATAGAGCATAGTTAGGGCCTGGCCATAGGTTCAGGATGGGGCTGTTCTCCCACGACTAATACAGAACAGAATAGTAGGGTACCCAGGCCCGGAAGTGAGCTGAAGGACCTCTCCAGCCAGAGTGAGAGGATATATGCAGGACTACCTGGCAAGGAAGGAGTCCCACAGGAAGCAGATGGCAGTCATGGGTGGTCACTCCCAAGAAGCCTTTGTGAACTAAAATTATGCTCTGTAGTAAACATTTTGCAAATACTTGAGAGCTTTTAATGTTCAAATATGTGTATATTTTGTGGGACTGTCCCACACACTAATGAACTGTTAACCCAAAGGCAGTAGTCCCTTTTTTTGGAAAACTGGTAGAAGAGATTTAACTGTGTGTTATGTGTGTGTGTGGAGGGTCAAGGTCAAACCATTTGAGTAGTCAGTAAAGTGCGATTTTTAAAAACTATAATATGTAACTAGGTATAAAGGCACAGTTGATAGTTGCTGGTAAGTGTTGAGAGATTTGTTGTTGTTGCTGTTTTGTACTGGAGATTGAACTCAGAACCTTGCACTTGAGAGGCAGGTGGCAACAGCACTGAGCTTTTAAACACTGAGTTTTAAAACATCTCAGAGAGACATGGGAGGCTTGTGCTTAACAGAGCTCCTCATACATGTACTAGCAGATCTGTAATAGAAAGCAGAAAGCTCTAGGTCCATGGAGGACTCAGGACTAGCTAAAATGCAGGGTGTGTTGGGGAGATCCATATAGAGAATTATCCTGGGTAAACCCATGGTCTCGCTGAGCATCCAAATGTTCCCACCAAATCAAAGTCATGTTAGGAAGTTCTATCTTTGGAAAAATAATTACATATTTTTTTCAGCTTTACTTTGAAGGTTCTCCTAATAGAAGTGAGGGAGCCTTTCCTGGGAGTATTTTCTCTCTAGGAGGATTCAGAGTTCATGGAAAGAGGATCCCACGTGTGCCTCTGGGTCCTGAAGTGACCAACGCCTTGACAGGCCTTTTGCCCAAGCGTCTCCCCAAAATGTTGGTGTCCTTCTTATTGCACCTTTTGCCTTCATTTGGGCACCTGGTGTCCCCCATCCCGTAAACTCCAGTGCACACCCTCTGTGTGGAGCAGGTTGTTTTAAGAACATGTTTTCAAGAAAAGGAGTGGAGCAGGCTTGCACAGGAAAAGTAAGCAATTTAGATCTTTGGAAGTTTTATACCTTTCCAGACAGTCCACATGATGAACTCATTGGTTCCTATATCCCTGTGAGGTGTTTTTGTGAGGTGGGGACTGTTACCTCTTTTACAGGTAGGAGTAAGCTAAGATATCCAGGCCAGAACTGAGTAGGGTCAGAACTGGGTTTTGTATTTCTGTCCTCTAAGCTCTTTCCAAACTGGCTTTGATGTCACATCTTCCTGCGCCCATAATTTCCTTGAGTTATGGTCTGTCAGCAGTAAAATTTTCAAATTAGAAGCATTTAAGGTTTTTAGCCTAGCTAAATGTTGCTTTAATTATTTCCCCCAGCAAAATTGCAAACTCATAGGAAAAAATGAGACAAATGAGTACACAAATAACCATGATGCAGAATGTGGGAAGTGCCCTCCGAAAGCCACAAGAAAGTGCCAAGCAGGTTTAAAGGGAGGGCCAGCAAGAATTGCATTACTTGTGTTAGCCGAGTCAAGGGTTGACAGGTGGGCAGGGGAGCAAGGAGACTTAGACTTTATGAAGCTCTTTTTTTTTAATCCAATATTTCATTTGGTTCTTGCTCAAATCCTTCTTTCCCTTTGTGGAAGTATCTATAATAAAACTGGAGGGGAGTGCAGAAAGCACCTAGGAGAAATCCAGTGGTGTTTGCACATATAAAAACAAAATATGCATGTTATTTTCAGCTTGGAAACTCTAGCTCTTTCTGTTCCTTAGCCTCTGGTATTAAATCATTCAAGAACTGGTCAAGGCCGGGGTTTTTTTCTTGATATTTTCAATTATTGAAATAATTGAAGCAGCATTTCGCTGAGTAAAGACCTTAAATATTCCTGTTTTCAATGTGGCCTCTTCAAGATGGACAGTAACTCAGTGGTTTGACTCACAGTCCATTCACAGTTGGGGGGCAGAAAAGTTTCTGTTCGTTGAATAGGGACATAAACAGCAAGAGGAAGGGCCGGGGATTTAGTTCAGTGGTGCCATCACCTGCCTCACAAGCACAAGGTCGTGAGTTCAATCCCTGGTACCTAAATAAATAAAGAGCAGGAGAAGCCCTTTGCTGGCCATAAAGGAGAGGCCTTGGGCACAATGACCTTTTTTGCTTTGCCTGAATGGAGTCCCTGTGGACAGTGAGCAGGCCTTGGAAGAGTGTAGTACACGTTCTCATTCCCCACTTCCACTACATCTGTAACAGACTGAACCAGGAAAAAGTGAAGGGGTGTAGACACCGAGTACATTAGTGGTTGCCAGCATTTGAGAAGAGAAAAGAACCGGATAGGACTGCTCAGCATGTGGAATTTCCTGTGGGGGTTGTGAAAATGTTCGGGAATTCAATACTGGGGATGGTTGTGTAACTTTGCAAATAAACTCAAAATTATTGAATTGCGCACTTTTAAAGGGTAAATTTTATCGTAATGTAAGTCTTCCAAAAAAGCTTTTGTTTTAGAGTAAGGAGCAAAACCATTATTGTTGCATAGTGGAAAAAAGACGGAAAATGTCAATGTGATATTTATTCTTACACTTCCCCTTTCCTGAGACACATTACTATATTAGAAATCTTCCATCAAGCCCAGAGAAATATTTACAGAGGAAGAAGGGACACGGAGGGAGACAAGGAGTTCAGTCTCCACTTTTCTCCTCATTTTAGGAAGGCGAGGCCCAGGCTGTCCTAAGGTCCTGGAGTTAAAGCAGAGGAGCTTTCCCCAAGCTCAGTGCACTCCATTGCCCTGCTGGGCCCCTCACTCTTGCTTTTCTAGATGAAGCTTCTGAAGGATGCTCTTTAGAGGCAAAGAGCAATGGAGAAGGGATAAGACTACTCATTTCCTACTTAACACCTTAGTGTGTCAATCTGAGTAGCTGGCCAGTCCCTCTGCAAGGCCACCCATTGGTGGAAGTTGCAGCCGGTGCCTGCTGTCTTCTAAACAAGGTACACCCAGCAGGAGACCTTGGAGAACAGGGTGTGCCAGCCCCACCCAATACTCTGCAGGTGTGAGCCAACATGGCTCTGCACTGCCACCTCACAGGACTCGGGCAAGTTGGGCATAGGTTGTGTTGACGTTCAGAGACATTTAGACCGAAATTCTGTCCTTCCCTTTCAGGAGGGGTTGTGCTGACTCACGGTGCGGTTATTCAAGGAGGTTGTGGGCATCTCTGAAACCTGAGATGAGAATTGAGGAGTGCCAGGGAAATATGAACAGAGGCTGCCTTAGTGAGGAAGGGCAGCCCTGCCTAGGAAACAGTAGATTTGCTTGTGGAAGCCTGATTTGTATATGTAAAGAGGGCCTCAGAAGCCAGGGGCCAAGCTTAAGGCCCTCTTACTAACTCCCTTCCCAAATTTAGCAAAGCCCCACTTCCTTTCAGAGATAGCAAATTACAGGTCTCTTCAATTATGTGAAATTGGGGTGGTGTCCTTTCAGGGAATCTACTCTAGTGATGGAGAAAAAGGAATCAAGAAAAATCCACTTGGGGAAGGAAGTGGTTCTTCCTACACTATACCAAAATATGAGCAAGGTTACCTCTAGGGCTAGGGATTAGTATATAGCCACCTTTTCTTTTTCTAGTATATAGCTTTCTGCATTTAAAGAAAAGGTATTTACTGTAGCAGTTATCAATTCTCTAAGAAGAAAACCAACATTTAAGAAAAAACTGTGGTCAGGCCTGATTACATGCCTATAATCTCAGCTACTTAGACTGAGTCAGGATGATACAAATTCAAGGCCAGCCTGAGCAATTTAGGGAGATCGTGAATCAAAATAATTAAAAATAATAATAATAATTTTTAAAGGACTGGGGATATAGCTCAGTGTTTCCTGAGTTCAGTTCCCCATACTACAAAACAAACACAAAACAACTAAGGTGCCCTACTGCAGCAATGTCTGTAGAGGAAGGAGTTCAGTGTTTATGAGCAGAAACCTCTGCTCATCCCTCAGAAAGTGTCTCCTGGGCCACCCATCCCTCTTTTTCTCAGCCAGACTCCAAGAACCAATACAAATTGGACTTTCTGGAGGGAAGTAGGGAAGACAAAACTCCCCAGGGACTGGATTTTACCACTCTGAGAATGACTGTTCAATAATGTTGACCCCATTAGACACTACCTAAGGTCACCCACAGCCCAGTGTGGCCACGGGGCAGGATGTGTCACTGGACGTGCCTTTGCTTTTCCTTCAGGTGGACCTACCACGACTTCTTTAACCGATATCGGGTGCTGGTCAAGAAGAGAGATCTCAGCAACACCGACAAGAAGGCCATCTGCAAGTCTGTCCTGGAGAGCCTCATCAAGGTGAGCTGAGCTCAGCAAAGGGCATGACCAGTAGGCCCTGCAGGTCAAGGGTGGGCAGGCAGCTGCAACGTCTGCCATCCTCCTTACTGAGACTGTCTCTGAGATAGTAATCCACTTCCCTGCCTCACAGGCTAGAAACAAAAGCCCATTGACCTAGAGTAGCTCCTAGCCTTTTCACATCTCAGCACACACCAAAGATAGATCTGCACAGCTCACTGGGGTGCCCCTGACCCAGGCTCTCCAGCTCCCCCATAGCTGGGCCCAGCTGTTCTTGTCACTGTACCTGGGTGGAATCTGTTCTGGAGCCCAGGCACAGCCCCTGTCAATAGAGTGGAAAAGAGGTGTTCCATTTTTAACCTATATGCATTGCCAGCCTCAGAGATCCCCATTTACTCATTTAAAATCAAGCAATAGATTTTTTGTTGTTGTTTTGTTTTTGATACCAGGGATCAAACTTGGGACCCTGTGCTTGTGAGACAGACGGCAAAAAAAAAAAAAAAAAAAAAAAAAAAAAAAAAAATCACTGAGCTAAATCCCTGGTCCCTAGTAGATTTATGTTTTAATTAAAACATTCTGAAGTAACACCTGACAGTTGAGACTTGACACTATAAAAATAGAGCCATGAGTGGCAAACCTTTAAACATTCCAGTAGTTCCAAAGAATTCAGGGATTATAGCAGAATATGATAAGTTCTCCATATAGGGCTAAACCCTACTGAGAATCTTCCCTTTTAGAAGATAGTCAAAAGGATTATATCAAAAATGTTATAATTTTAATATTTACTAATATACATGTAGTTAAGAAAATATGTGTCAGGCATCTTATAAAACAACAGACAACTGATTAGAAAGTTAATTGTTTAATCATTCTTATCATATTTCTAGTTTACTTTTATGTTTTCTTGTCTTGTATTTACATTCTCATCTCAAATATAGTGCAGTAAATTTCATGTGAGACTTTCCTTTTGCCTTCAAAAGGGAGGTTTTTTTCTTTACACTTCTCCTCCTGTCCTTTCTTTTTTCTGTCTTTTCTTTCTCTGCTTTAATATTGTTTGTATGCCGTTTCTCATTATTTTAAAGTTATTTAGCAGCTACTCCACAGAAAGTAAATAACATACCAAAAATATAGCAGTTTCTTTTATTTAATTTAACATGTAACATTTATACTATGAATGTAAAAGCTTCCTTGATTTAAATTATATACCAAAATATCAGCAATATTGGTCTGTTTACATAACATATGCTTCCAAGTATGTACAAAAGATCAGAGGGATGTGAATATGTTTTTTGGATTTTTTTTTCCTTCATTGAGTTTATTGGTACATTTTAGGTATACTACTTATACAGTACAATTACATTCATTACTGGGATCTTGTACCGTTACATGACAGGTCTTGGTTCTCAGTTTTTCCCCTTGTCCCTGCCCTCCCTTCACCCCCTCCTCCCCTCCCCGTTTACAAACACTTCATTTCCATTTTTTCATTTTCTCATATTTTTTTCTTTTCCCTTATCAAGAAAAGGGCTAAAGCAGTAGGGGAAGTGGGAAGGGAAGGGGAAAGGAAAGGAGGGGAAAGAAAAAATAAGAGAAAAGGAAAAACTGGAAACAAAGTCTTTGTAAAAAGGGAGGAGTAGAAGGGGTAAAGGAAGGGCAGGAATATGGGGAAAAAATAAGAACCAAGGTACATCATGTAAAGATACAAGATCCCAATGATGAATGTAACTGTACTGTATACCTAAAAAGTACCAATAGACTTAATGAAAAAATTATAAACATGAGACAACATGGACCTTATGTAATATTTTATAATATAAATATAAAGTTGTATAGATCAAATATAAAACATTGGTGTATACAAACAAGAAAAATGTCAATGTTTTTGGGTCAAAAAAATGTCTTGAGAAAGCCACAATGGATACTTATAACAAATATGTCTCTTGTCATCTCTACCAAGAGTGATATTGTGGGCAGGCAGAGCTCATGGGCCATTTCTGTTAGGATGTGTTAGGAATGAATCATGGTCAAAGATATTTTATGTGAAATATAATGTTACACTGCAGCCTTCTTAAAGATTTTTTAAGGTACTGAGATAAAACATACCAGACATAGGGTTTACAATTAAACTATTCCTGCTGCTAAGTAGTATAGTTCCCAAATATAATTTAGAATCGCTATGATTCATTTTTATATTCTGTAATATTATAAATATTTGTATTTAGCTAGTACTTAGTATTTAGTTGTTAAATATTCACATAAAAGAGTAATTGCCTTAAAATCAGGAGGTGTTCAGTCAAGATTTATCTGTAGAAGATCTCTGTACCAAAAATAAATAAATAAATAAAAAGTTATCCAAATGAAAAAAAAAAAAGTTAAGCTTTGGGCCAGAGATTTAGCTCAGCGGTACAACCACCTGCCTGACGAGCATAAGGTCCCAAGATAGATACCTGGTACCAAAAAAAAAAAAAAAAAAAAAAAAAAATAAATTTTCAAATATTTTTAAAAAAAAAAGTTAAGTTTTCAAGTATTATATATTTTTTGCTAGGAAATCTGTTTTTTAACAAATAATCAAGGGTTAAGGTCATCTTCTGAGCATAGACTCAGGCTCAGAAAAATGCAGGATGTTGTGCTAAATGTGTAAAATTTTAAAGTTGTCTTTTAAAAGGGTCTCCCTTGTTCCCTCCTCTTTTTAACAACAGAGTAAGACGGTAGCAGGCTGGTTAATTGAGAGCTGTGGTTTGTTCCTGGTACTCTGATGAGCTGAAGTTTTGCTGTGGTCATCTGTCAGTGTCCCAGTTTATGATATTGTTATTCATGGGTGATAAAAACATGTTTAAGGTGATCTGATGTGAGCTGACATGGAGAATCAACTGGTATCAGAGATGACCTCTTCATATGCAGTCCAGGCCTCCACCATTGGCTGCCTTCTCTTTTGTCTACTCGCCTTTCTTCTCTGGGCTTCTCCAAAGTTACCAGCAGAACCTCCACTCCCCAAACAAAGATTATACACTGAGCTCTGCTCCCCTCTGGGTCATGGGACCAAGTGTCCTGCCTGGGACCTGCCTTCTTGACATGCTCAGCTCACTGGACCTTGCCTCTTTCTCACTGGTGACAGGCCTGCCTGCTTCTCAGTGACCAGCTCATAGCTCATAGCCTGCTGTCCCATTTCAGATACATGTCTTTCTCTGCGGGGGACCTGTCTCTGCAGTGAGGCATCCCCCTTTCGTGTCAGCACTGAGCCTGACACAAGGGAACCCACTGCGCAGTCATGGCATGAATATGTGGACACTTGCCTGAAGAAAGGTTATGTGATACACACTGTTTCCTCTACCTAGAATGCATTTTCCTCCTTTCACCTGCTAACCAGGCTCTACTCTCTTCCCAAACTGAGCTCTCAGATACTTTCTGGTCTGAGGAACCTGTTCCTGACCTCCCAGATGGAGTTAACCACTCCATTTCCTATGACCCAAAAGTACTTAGTACCTGTCTTCCCCTGTTGCATTTATCTCCTTGTATTGTGATTGAAGGTTTGTCTGTCATTTCACTGGACTATTGCTGTGTGCCTGGTATAATTCCTATTTATTACAGGGGTGGTGAGCTAGTGCAGGTGGCTGCATGGGTGATGAGCTAAGTCCATATGACTGGAAGCCTGCTAGTAATGGCTCACCTTGTCAGGAAAGTGCAAACATTGCCCATCTTACAGGTGGGCAAACCAAGGCACAGAAAGCTGATGTAAATTGCCCAAAGGTTACACAAGTGGACTCAAACTTTCGTGGTCTAAACCACAATGCCTGTTTAGTGTCACTCTGCATGATGAGCCTTCCCAGAGACTCATGTTGTTGTCCTTCACCCCCACATTCTTGGACCAAATCATCCAGACACTCATGCTCCTAGTACTTTGTGAACTGGTTGGAATTCAGCAGAGTCACAAGTTGACCTTGAAGGACTGTGCCACTCTTGCCCTGCCTTGGGCAAGTGCTTAGTACATTCTAGGACAGAAAAGGAGAGAAGAAGGGATGAAGGTGGCTAGGAGGCCAGACAACAGGTTTTCAGCAGAGTCACAAGTTGACCTTGAAGGACTGTGCCACTCTTGCCCTGCCTTGGGCAAGTGCTTTTCTAGGACAGAAAAGGAGAGAAGAAGGGATGAAGGTGGCTAGGAGGCCAGACAACAGGTTCTAATAGCCATGTTCTGTGGGGCAGCCTGGGGTCTAGGGGCTGCTCTATCAGGTATCATGGAGAACTTTCACCACTGCAGTTGGCTAGGGAAGAAATGTGCATTGTGGCAGCATCTCCTCTGCAAGGACTTTAGGAATGCACTGTCATCCTTAATGTGAACTTGCTGCTTCAGCTCCACAAGTAGGTATTGAGTTCTTTCTCCATACTGTAGTCTGGAGTGGTCAGAGTGAGGGATTTTAAAAGGCATGCTGCATGAGAACTGCTATCCAGGATTAATAATCTAGTGTGAGCACTGACATAACTGTAGAGACTCATACAGTGGGGACTGATGATCCTACGAACCTGAATCTTCATCATGACAATGAAGGGATGTAAGAAGAGGCCTTTGTTGGGAACCCGTACAGTACCAGGTGCTGTGTGCATGAGAAGTCTGAAGCGCACAGTATTAGGAAAGGAAGCATGATTTGTCAGAGACCTCTGGTCAGGGAATCCCAGATCCTGGATTCTATTCATTGATATTCTAGAGTGACCTGGAGCACGTCACTTTATCATTTTTATCTAGGCTTCAGTTTTATCATCTATGAAATATGTGGAGTGGCATGGATTGCTAAGACTGCTCCCCACCCCCACCCCCACCCCATTGCATGGTTCTTGGAGAAGAGTTGTCCAAAGATGATGACTGATGATTGGTTAGTATATGAATAGAATGGTGCATTCTGGGAAGTGTGCTCGAGCCACATAGGCTAGAGAGTGCAGATCAAGCTGCTTGGTGACTGGATGGAGCGGGTGGGATTGTCAGAAAGCCTTATTTGTATAAACAGTGGCCTCACAGCCCAAATTGCCCCTTGGTGTTTATTTCCAGAATAACAAATGAAGCACTTGTGCTCTGGTTCCTGGGTTGTAGGCTTCATCTGAGGCCCTGCCTCTGCTGAAGCTGAGCATCCATGTTTGCCCACTGACCCTGACCTGCCCCCTTGCTGAAAGGATCCTCCCTCACAGGCCAACAATCAAAGAATGGTCTTGGCTTCCCTGAAGCTTCCCAGCCTTGTCCATCCTGTTGCCTCTCAGCATGAGCTGCAGGCCCTGAGCAGGCATAGAGATGACAGTCTGCCCAGCCTCTGCCCCCCTCCCAACTTCCCCAGCAGCCAGTCCTGTGAAGGAGACTTGTTAGTGACATTCAAGCTGGGACTGTGCTCCTAGCCCCTGCACCGCTTGGGCAAGGCAGCCTTCCCAGTGTGCAGAGACTGATTCATGCTGAACCCATGAAGCACAATGACTCAGTGGTCCTTCAGAGCCATTTGCCAGTGTGAGGCCTCTTTGCACGTATGTGTTTCATATCCCATGGCTCATTCCTTCCTGTTTTAGTAGGGCCATTGTGCCAGCGGACACACTTAGATATCAGTTTGTTTGCAAAGCATTCTCGGTTGTCATTGGTTAACTCAGGCCTGTCCACCAGCACCCAAGGGGGTTATCTCCTCTTATCCATCTGGATGAACACAGAGAAGGGCAAGTAACTTTAATTTCATCGTATAGTAATTACACGTTCACAGACGTCTCTATGCAGTTTTATTTCGGGATTATTTGTAATCTGTAACTATACAACTGTATGGTCATTTGAGCATAATCATGTCATTGCCTTGCTCAGCACCTCCAACTAATGGCTCCCATTCTAGTTATCTACAAGGCTCTTGGTGATTGGTTCCTCCCACTGCCCACATTTAGCCACCTTGGCCTTTGGTTCCTCAAGCATACTTGGCTTGTGCTACCCCTGGACATTTGCATTTGTTCTATTCTTGCAGAATGCCCCTTTTAAAAGCTTATTAGTCTGTGTTGGCAGTGCATGATGATTATTAGTTCATTGGGGAGTTGGTTCATGTACAGAATACATCTTAATTATTTTATTTGCCCCCTCCCATCTCTTGGGCCCCTTCCCATTTGCAAAACCTATCTCCCTGTTTTCTATTTCTGTCTTTTATTTTGCTTTTTAAAATATTGGTAATTTTGAGATTGTCATATAAGAGAAACCATGTGATATTTAAACCGGTATGTCTGATTTACTTCCCTTAACATTAACATGGTCTTAACGTGGTCTCAAGGTGCATCCATTTTCCTACAGATAACTCAAATTTATCCTTTGTGACAGAGTAGTACTCCACTGTGTACAAATGCACATTTTCTTTATCCATTCCTCTACTTGTGGACATATAGGCTGCTTCCAAGATTGAGCTGTTATGAGTTGCTCTGCTGTAAGCATGGGCACCTGTGTGTCACTGGAATGTGATGTCTTTAACTCTTTTGGGAAGATACCTGGAAGAGGAAATAGCTGGGTCAAAGGTAATTGCTATTTTTAGTTTTTTGAGAAATCTCCATACTGATTTCCATAGCGGTTGTCTTAGTTTACATTCCCACCAACAATGTAGAAGGGTTCCTTTTTCCCCCATAGACTTGCCAGCATTTGTGGTTTGATTTCTTGATGATAGCCATGGAATGCTCCTTCTTGATGTTTTACCAGGACTGCCTTCTCCATTCAGGTCTTTGCTCAAATGTCACCTCCCAGAGATGCCTTTCTTGACCATCTTTTTTAAACATCCCTGCTTTCATTTCCTCCTTAATTCTCACCACTGTCTGAAAACTGTCTTTGTTTGTGTGTCTGTCTACTGCTGGTACTGAGGGCAGATACCTTGTTCATGGTCATGTCCTGGGTGCCTAGTGCAGTGCCTGCCCCCTAGTGGGGACTCAGTATCTGTTGAACAAATGCTGGAAGTCTATGTCCCTGCAGAGGAATATGTGAGGTCTGGCAAGGCCCTCAGCCTTGGAAGAACTGGATGATGTGGGTTGTGCTACCCTGCTGTTCATGCTGATCAACCAGCCCATCTCCCTGCCTTGTAAAGGATCCCGACAAGTTCCAGTTTGGCCGAACCAAGATCTTCTTCCGGGCAGGCCAAGTGGCCTACCTGGAGAAGCTACGGGCCGACAAGTTCCGGGCAGCCACCATCATGATCCAGAAAACTGTCCGGGGATGGCTGCAGAAGGTGAAATACCAAAGGCTGAAGAAGGCTACCATGACCCTGCAGAGGTACTGCCGAGGATACCTGGCCCGCAGGTGAGTCAAGCTGATGTGTATGGGGCAGCAGACTGGAACTGGAAGGATGAATCCTGCCTCTCTCATGCTCTGCAGTTAGAGTACTAGAGTGCTTCCTGTTGGCCTCGTCTATATCTTGACATTCTCCCAACCACTGGACCTATTCCTCTGATGCCCTTCCCCTAGTTTCTAGCTCTCCTGCCCCTCCCACACCCCACCCCGTCATCGTACAACACTAAACTAGAATCAGCTGATGTTAGCACAAATCATTTTCCCATTGCCTAAACCCCAAAGTAAATAAGAAACGGTTAGGAAGAGATGGAACTTTTTTTCACAGTTAACTTTTACATAGCCTCATTTATACCAGAAGTTTCAGAATGCCTTGGACTTTGATAATTAGGGCACATTTCTGAGGAGCCCTTTTTTGAGTTAGTGTGCCCAGCCTTCAAGGAGAGGGTGTGACTTATCTGACCATAACAGCCAGCTCATGGTAGAGCCAGTCAGGCTCCCCTCCCTGGCCTGGAACTGTGCAAAGATAATTGCTGTAACCATTCTCTTCCTAACTCACCTCCCTTGGCTGATTGTAACACAACAGGAGTGGCTCCCCTGGGGCTGGTGTCAGGGACCAGCTCCGTTGAGATGCGTCCTAAGCACAGAGGCCACAGCCGCTAATGAGATGCACCTCAGGCATTTTACACAAGTTGTCAGATTTGGATCCGTCCCTGGTACATAGCCAGTGCCCTCTCCAAATTGGAATTTAAAAAGAAAAGAGATAACACCTTGAAGGCCAAACCCAGAGCAGGCCTCCTGTGTATCATAAAGGTAGGAGATGCCAGGGATTTAGCTCAGTGGTGCTGCTGCCTACCTTTCAAGTGCAAGGTCCCGAGTTTGATCCCTGGTACC